GTCTGGGACACGAGGCAGGCAGCCCGCATCTTTGCGGCTCAGCCTCCTGGACAGAAGACATTATTACCTTGCTTTCCTGGAGTAACCCTGCTTGGGAGATGCTAAGGGCACAAACACATAGAAAAAGCAAGAGGCCAACTGATCTTCAAAGTATCAGGGAAATAAGAGTCTAGGTGAATTAAGCCTTCTTAGCCCATGCCAAGAAAACGCTTCCCATGCTGACCCCTCTTCATTTCTGCCTTTTGTAGACTGCTGGCTACAAAATGGAGACGGCAGCATTCCCCTGGGGCTGAGAGGTAAGGTGGGGGGTAAAGACGTTACATGCTGTCTTTGCATGACTACATCAGAGAGCCTTTGGTAGGTACTGAAATATGCATGTAGGTCTGAGCCTGTGAACAGGCTTATTATAGTTATGTTGCACACAGGTGCTTCTAGGCAGTAATAGGAACACTGCACCCAAGGCGGCAGCGGGTTGGGTCACATTATCCTCCCCCACCGCTGTATGCCCATTTCCTGCTTCTAAAAAAGGTCTCCCCTGACCTTGGGCTACAAAAAAAAAAAAGAAGAAAGCTGTTGGCTAAAACCATTTGGAAAGTAAAGGAGAAAATAAAACTATTGTTGGCCAGTCTCTGAAAACAGAAAAACGGATACTCTCCACAGGTCTTTTCAAAGTCTCTCAATAGCTTTGCCCCGTGGTTCAGTTTAAGATCCCACTGTGCTTCATTCAGCCAAAGCACCAAGTTCCCACACCCCATTCACTCACTCGCTCATTCATTCATTCCCTCTCAGTCCCCTCCTCCTCCCCCCACCCCACTTTCTCTCTTACCCAGACCCATTGATCGAGAGTCTGATCTCATGCTGATGTCATGCCCTGGGCTTCAGGGGAGAATTACTCTTGATTTACATCCATGAGAGAGAAGTAGTTAAGGACAGATCTGCTGCCTGCACCCTCAGCTCCCAGAGGTGGGTGTCATTGCCCATGCTCCCCTGACAGAGCAGCAGGCCAAGACCCTGGCTTTGCTAGATGGACTCAAACATGCTTTGGGATATAACTCTCACCTGTGAGTAAGGGACCAAGGCTTTATATCACTCGGCAAGGATCTTTATAGAGGTGCCCAAATAAATTTATTCCCAATTTTCTCCCTTCACCCAAATCTGGGGGACACTGAGCACCATTGTTTTCTGTGCTCAGAGTCAGTCTTCCTCCCAAGCAAAAGACCATGTACGATGCTATGAGACACTGTCAGAAACTGCAAGGAGCCCCCTTACATAACGCCTTTAGGGAGCTCCTTGCAGTTTCTGACTGTGTCTCATAGCATCGCACACGGTCTTTCGCCTGGAAGACAGACTGAGCATGGAAAACAATGGTGCTCCGTGTCCCCCAGGTTTGGGTGAAAATTGGGAATAAATTTACTTGGGCACCTCTATAAAGACCCTCAGAGAGAAGGCAAAGAAGCACAGCCGGGATTAGAAGCTAGTACACACTACTACCCCTGAGTGTTGACCATTAGCCCATGCTTGCTCTGAGCAGGCCTTCCCTTCATAGTCTCCAGAGGTACTTCTTGTCTCCTCACACTCAGCCTGTCTTACTCATCACTGACCCTGACCCTGACCCTGGTCCACGGAGACAGCCCAACACGAGCCCCAGCACACAGTTAGAATGATGCTGGAGCTTAGAATCAATCGAATCATTGGAAATGAGGGCTGGAAGGGACCTCAGGAAGTCACTTAGTCCAATCCCCTGCTCAAATCAGGACCATCCTTAACTAGATCATCCCAGCCAAGGCTTTGTCTACCTGGGTCTTAAAAACCTCCAAGGATGGAGATACCACAACCTCTCTGGGTAACCTGTTCCAGTGCTTTACTACCCTCCTCGTGAGAGAGTTTTTTTCCTAATATCTAACCTAAACTTCTCTTGCTGCAGCTTGAGCCCATTGCTCCTTGCTCTGTCATCTACCACCACAGAGAACAGGCCAGCTCTATCCTCTTTGTAATCACCCTTCAGTCTCTTCTGTCTCTGAGTTTATGATCAGATGACTGCAATCTATGGTGAAGCCCAGTTAACACCACGGTTACACCTTGATTTAGTCACGCTAGTTAATGAAACTAAGGCAGGAGGTTTTGAGTGGCACCTCATTTCATGGGCTTTATGGTAAATTGCTCATGGCAAGTACCATATTTTCTGACATACAACACACACACCCTTTTACCCACAAAAATCAACTACTGGGAACTGGGATGAGCATTTATAAGCAAAGAAATATGTTGACAGCAATATCTGCCACTTAAGCCTCTGTCGAAGGAAAGCAAAAGTAATTCTGTATGCATTCCCCAGAGAGTAGCACGATGAGCATGCTGCACTCCCTATCTCCTGCTACTCCGTTCCTTACTGCTACTTACCAGTATTTTCAAGGAAAGATTTTTTTTTTCATCCTGCCTTTCAAAACCAAGATGTGCACCTTAGTCCTGGGCATGTTGTATGTGAGAAAATAGGGTATTTTGGTTTAAGATTTACTAGAGGAGTACCAAAAAAATACACCAGTTAATAGTCTTTCTAGATACAACTTCTTGTGCTAGACAGTAGTTAGCACAATTATGCTAGACAATTTATCACTGTTGTCACTTTGCAGATAAGTTAATGAACTGCTCTAATTTATCCCACACAGGATGCCCTGAAAGCAATGCGCTGTGCGCCAGAAGGACATGCAAATCAATCAGTAAATAGAACCACTGGAGCATTTCTCTCTGTTCTAAAACACTTGCTGAAATGGGTTAGCTGAGTGTTCAGTTGAATGGGAAGAGACAGCTCAGTCTGTATGGAGAAATAGACCTGAATAGCTACTGCCCAATAGTTTTGCTGCAATGGCGCCCCCTGTAGACTCCCTTCTGGACCATAGGCTTGTCTACACTGCACCCAGGAGTTGTGACAGCAGCATGGCTCAGACCTTGGGCAACACGCAGTCCCCAGTACCAGGAGCAAGCAGGCTGCAGCAACCTATGCCAAATCTTGTGTCATCAGGTTCTCCTGCTGTGCTTACCCAGACGAGCTAGACTGAGACCATCTTGGCAGTCACGCCTCTGAAGAGCAGCGCAGACACAGCTGAAATGTGCCTTGTTCCCAATTAGCTTGATCCACTTTGGAAGGGGATCAGGCTAAACCAATGGTTTTCAACCTGTGATTTGTTGACCCCTGGGGGTCTGAAGACATGTCTAAGGTGTCCATGAAATATGACTATGATCCATCAGAAGTATGTGAATACCCACACTTATAATTCAAAGGGGTCTGCACCTCCGTTTGAAATTTTGTAGGGGTCCACAAATGAAAAAAAGGCTGAAAACCACTGGACTAAACTACCAAAAAGGAGCTCTAATTGCAGAACCACAGAGACTAAAGGGGAAGCGACTCTGGAGTAACTGCTGCAGTGTCTGTTCACACCAGAGCTCTTCTGGAATAACCCTGGTGAGTAGACAAGCCCTCACCGAGAGGTGCTCACCTTGCTAAAGAAAGTATAAAATGAACAAAAACAGTCACGTGCAGAGAAATAAGGCCCCAATTCTGACTCCACCTCCCCCTGCTTGTTATCTTTACATATAACACATATCAAGCATTCTGTAATACACAGGACCTTGCTCCTGAAATCAGCAGGCCCATTGGCAAATGAAGGAGGTCCACAAAGTGAGTAAATGGATGAGCAGCTAGCTGTAAGTGCAACAAAATGAATT